TGCAATTCTGGGTTTTTAGGTTATGTAAAGGTTTTATCTGTTTTTGTGGGAAGAGAGAGAAATAGTGGGTTTTGTTTTGTTTAATTATTCTTAAGTTTCTTATACTTCATTCTTGAAATCTAACATTGGCAATTCATAAATATGTATTTGGGACTCGAGTTGTTCCTTTACATCCTTTGCTTTTTCCTTGTTTTAATAAATAGAGATGGGGGTCTTGCTATGTGGCCCAAGCTGATCTCAAATTCCTGGGCTCAAGTGATCCTCCCACCTTGGCCTCCCAAAGTGCTGGGCTTAGAAGTGTGAGCCACCACACCCAGCCTCCTTTATGTTTTGATTCCTCTTAATCACATGCTTTTGCATTCTTAGACAGCCATACTTCAATCTATTGTTAATAAATGGGAGTAAAGGCCAGGCATGATGGCTCATACCTGTAATCCCAGTACTTTGGGAGGCAGAGGCAGGAAGATTACTTAAGCTCAAGAGTTAGAGACCAGCCCGGGCAACAAATCGAGACTCTAGCTCTACAAAAAGTTAAAAAATTAGGTCAGGTGTGGTGGCTCATGCCTGTAATCTCAATACTTTGGGAGGCTAAAGAGGGCAGATAACCTGGGGTTAGGAGTTTGAGACCAGCCTTGCCAAAATGGTAAAACCCCATCTCTACTAAAAAATAGCTGGGCTTGGTGGTACATACCTGTAATTCCAGCTACTCAAGAGGCCGAGACAGGATAAAGGATAATCGCTTGAACCTGGGAGGCAGAGGTTGCAGTAAGCTGAGATTGTGCCGCTGCACTCCAGCCTGGGCGACAGAGCAAGATTCCATCTTAAAAAAAAAAAATTAGCCAGGCATGGTGGTGCACGCCTGTGGTTCCAGCTACTCAGGAGGCTGAGGCGGGAAGATTGGTTGAGTCCAGGAGTTTGAGGTTATTGTAAGCCATGATTGCACCACTGCATTCCTACCTGGGCAACACAGAGAGACTCTGTCTCAAATAATAATAAAATAAAAATAATAACTTTCTGGCTGGGCGCGGTGGCTTATGCTTGTAATCCCAGCACTTTGGGAGGCCAAGGTGGGAGGATCACCTGAGGTCAGGAGTTCAAGACCAGCCTGGCCAACATGGTGAAACCCTATCTCTACTAAAAATACAAAAATTAGCTGGGCCTG